GGGCTTAATGCAAGTGTCTAGATGCACAAAGGCACGCTTCTAGATCTTCAGACAAATGGTTAAAAAGAGGCACGAAAACTGAATAACTCAATATAGAATAATTTATTAGATTTGTTAATCAAACCCAAGAGACAGAACAGTCAAATATAAATAGTTTTTTTTTATATAGTATACTAGTGACCCGCCCCGGCTTCGCACGGGTGCAATATGTATATACATACAAACCTTCCTTAAGAATCACTCTATCTATTAAAAAAAACCGCATCAAAATCCGTTGCGTAGTTTTAAAGATCTAAGCATACATACGGACATACAGCGAAAGCGACTTTGTTTTATACTATGTATTGAAGCCAGTAAACGAGCGGGTGGATGACCTGATGGTACGCAATCGGCGCCGCCCATGGACACTCGATACCAAAGCGTTACAAGTGCGTTACCGGCCTTTTGGTAATTGGGAATTTGAGGATTGTGGAGGATTCGGGGATCTTATCTCCCCAATTCCTGAATCCCCAACGATCCTCAAACTCCTAATCTCCAAAAGGCCGGTAACGCACCTGTAACGCCTCTGGTGTTCCAGGTGTCAATGGGCGACGCCGATTGCTTACCATCAGGTGATCCGTCTGCTCGTTTACCGGCTTATGCCACAAAAAAAAAAAAAAAAAATTCGGGAGACGGGGACTAGGGTAACCTCACTCACACGACGAAACACAACGCAAGCATTGCTTCACGTCGGTTTTCTGTGAGGCTGTGGTATATTCGTGCCGAAGCATGGCACTCCCACACTTGAATTTTTAATTGACTTCATATGTATGTATGTTTGTGCGCGATTATCTCGCGATCAGTTGAACCGATTGTTATTTATATTTTGTCTTAAAAAACATGACTCCAAACTAAGAATTTCTCCTGTGTCGCCAGTACGTTAACAAACATACAAGTACACATACACATCATACCCAGACCTGAAACAATAATTTGTGGATCAGACAAAGTTTTTATTTATTACCCGTTGAGAGAGAGAACCCGCTACACGTTGAGAGACAGCCGGTTGACCAGCCACGGCACCAACTGTGCGGTCAATTTTATGCGGCTTTCAGAAAGATCTTGTTGTTACACCTAAGAGAAGGCTTTAGTTGGTTAATTAATATATTAATTAAATAAAAAAGAGGTCATTGAAGTCGGTTTAATTTTTAAAATGTCGTTTATAAAAGAATTCATTAATTCATTCTTAAGTTGTATATATTTAATTTAGTAATATTTAGTTTTAATTTTATTTAAGTAATAGTTGTTATTTAAGTTTTTTATAGAAATAAACCTTTTATTCAGTTTTAACAGCTTATAACGTCTCTTTGACTCAGTCTCTCACACAGAGAAGGTTTAAGCATTAATCATCACGCTTGCTCAATGCAGGGTTGACGATTTCAAACTTATAATTAGCAATTGTACGCCCAGGTTTCCTCACAATGGTTCCTTCACCGTTTGTCAGTGGTATCTCAATAATCTTAGAATGTATAAAATAGTTATTAACAATTTAATAATAAGTTCATTGACGCATTTACCTTGAATTAAGTAATTAGATGTAAGATAGTTTGTCTAATGAAATCTTAGCTAAAAAGTAGTTTATACAAAAAACACTGACTTTCATCTTATAGCAGACAAAATGAAGAAGTGCATTACTGTTGACTTCAGTCTAGACGTAGTAAAGTTACTCCTAGACTAGATTTCAATTCCAATAGTAAAAAGTCAAGCTCTGATTCTCAATCTTATTTTAATATCAAATACAGTTTCAATTTTCTGTCATCCTTTAATCGTATTACAAATTTTAGCATAAAAAACTGCTAAGTTGATTGATAAAATACCTTTATTTTTTTAGAACATATAAAGAAGTTTTATATAAAAACATTAAGTCATAAAATCACGCCTTTTATCCCCGAAGGGGCAGGCAGAGGTGTACATTATGCCACTGTACAATGTAACACCCACTTTTCACTATTTATGTTATGAGTCCCATGTAATAGGGAGTGAGCCTGCTGTCAAATACTGGGAACAGTTCCAGACTCCGTGCTACAACTGAGAATTAAAAAAAAATCGAATAATACTTTGCCCGACCCGGGAATCAAACCCGAGACCCCTTGCCAGGCAGTCGCATTTGCGACCAAAACATCACACCATAATAATTCACAAATACTCTGATTGTCACAATCATTCTTCAATTTATTAAAACCTCTTAATATTTTCTAGACTTGTCACCACATTTCCTAGGTCAAACCGAAATCCGTCGGCCATTTTGCCTAACCGTGTCACATAAAGTGACATGTGTCGTACGCTTCATACAAAATAAATTATAAACGACATAACAGTATTGAAATTGATCGAAATGTCAACGTAATGGAGCCATCTTGTCATTCCATTTATAAATAGTGAGCGCTCATTGGCCGAGAATTTGAGATTCGAGTATTTGACCGAGTTTCGCATAAATACCTTTTAGAATTACAATTTTATGGAATGCTAATATTCGTATTCTTTTTTTAAAAAATGCGTTGCTTCACGCTAGTGTTTTCTCCTGTGTCGTGGGAGCGTTTATAAACAAGGAACTCAAACTCCTAATCCCCAAAAGGCCGGTAACGCACTCGTAACGCTTTTGGTGTTCCGAGTGTCTATAGACGACGCCGATTGCTTACCGACCACAGATATTAATATTTCTGTGTTACCGACGCTAATCCGTCTGCTCGTTTACCGGGTTATGTCATAAACAAAATATACTTATTTAAACGGATGAAATTAATTAAATCTATTCTTTTTTTTTTTTCTTTTTATACTACAATCTGTCGCCTTTATTGGGATATTCGGTAGTATGTTGGACGTCTCAATGGAATCAATTCTTAATGCGCTTTTTTGGTTCAAAACGGGAAATAGTTATAGATTTGCACGAACACTTATAAGTTCATTCTTATATTGTCTCTATTCCACCACTTCTGTATATATTTTATTGATGATAAATACAACATCGACTTTTCACCAAAATACTACAAGTACCTAATAGCTTCTTATATTACAAAAACCCTATAACACTCGGTATTCAAGGAAACTTTTTGATTAAAATATTTTACGTAGCGAACTGTATTTTGCTAAATTGTTAACAATTAACGTAGCCACCTGACCACAGGTGACCGTCTAGACGTCTTTTTTTCGTCTACTCATATTCATTTTTGTTGTTTGTCGAAATTAATTAAAATATTTGTCGACTTTTCATAGTAGATGCTTTCTACAGACTACTTTATCCCCAAAAGGTAAATTGACAGACTTCAAAAAAAGCGATTCGCATAGTTAAACCTGCTATGTACGAATGTATGTTTGTGCGCGAATATCTCTCGATTGGTAGAACCGATTTTGATGCGGTTTTGAGAAACGTAGACATGGCTTCGTATAGACTGCACGGTTGGTGCGGTGGCTGGGCAACCGGCTACCGTGCAACGTGTCGCAGGTTCGATTCCCGCACGGAACAACACTTTCTGTGATACACAAATTGTTGTTTCGGGTGCCATGTTAATGTGAATTTGTATGTTTGTAAACGCACCTACACAGGAGATAATCCTAGTGTGGGGCAATGTTTAAAAAAAAGAAAAGAAAGAATCGTGTTTGATTTCCTTTTTTTATTTTAAGGGGGAAATCATTCAATGACTTCTCTTGCCTTGGGTTAGGCAAGATGGAGTGTCAGACTCTGACTGACTAAAAACCACCTCATTCCTACTGCTGCTCTTTAAAGTGTTTGTTACACTTAAGAGATAGTTTTAGTATATTAAATAACCAATTTCAAAAGAAGATGGGGTTGAAGTTGGTTTTTTAAACGTAGTTAATGAAATAATTATTGTTGATTGTCTTTATGCTAAGCAGCTGTAAAGAATTACAAAAAAAAACTTTTTAATGTATTTGTACAAGACTGAAGGAAGGGTATTGTTTTTTTTAATGACACTTAACATTACTCCTTTTGTCCCCGAAGGGGTAGGCAGAGGTACACATTATGCGACTGTACAATGTAACACCCACTTTTCACTATTTATGTTATGACTCCCATGTAATGGGGGGTGAGCCTATTACCATAGGTATACCGAACACAGTTCCAGACTCCGTGCTACAACTGAGACTTTTTTGTCGCACTTCCGACCACTCGCAAGGCAGTCTTTAATTATATCGAGTAATAATAGACTTATTTTTCGAATGACTGAATATTATTAAAAATTTAAGAATTTTACTTGTTACCTAGACAACACTTAAAATATACTAAAGAGAGCCCATCCACTCACTGGCTTAAGAAATCTAATATTCATTCATTTAAATACCGACAGAACACTGCAAAGCTACGGTTTAGAAGGATTTAAATATTCCTTAGGTTTTCTTAAAAAACAGACGTAAACTCTGCATAATAAGCCATTGTCAAAAACCTCTTTATGAAATCAAGTGATTTTTGTTTAAACAAAATGTAGCTTACTAGTAGCAATATTGTCTAACCGTCAAGCAAATGACATGTAAGAAACCCGCGGTTCAGAAAACAAGTCTTCCAACATTCGTCCATAGATAGCGCTTTTTATTTGAGATCGTTTTCTGAATCGCGGTGTTAAGATTCTCCGGCAATACTATAAGGGTCCAACGAATTTATTTGAATGTTGGTATCAATTTGTCACGTGCTATTGTATCGTAATTTTTATTGTACAATAATTTGGAATACAAGTGTTCGGTAACCACGACCAAGTACTTTTATTCAATTCAACCCCCAGCTTAACCCTCACGATACCCAGGGTTATCCATGGTCCTTCGAGCCGGATCAAGCGTCATAAATATAACGCTTTTCGGAGTTTTTGGGTATCAGCAGCCAGCACAGAAACCAGTGGTGGATCGCCACTGAAGTGCTCCTAGTGTCGCCGACAGAGGGCGCCACCGCAGTTCAAGCAATTGTGCGGAGAATTCCGGATTCTGGAGCTGGACATCAGTGGAGGCGGCATCCCGCCGGTGTAGCTGAGCATCAAACCCGAGATCGGCGCGCCACCTGGCGGGCGCTGACATCAACAGCAAGCAAGCTGTAAACGACTGACGTCGTAAGGAAGTGAGTGATAGTGCGAAAAAACGTGAGTACTTTGTGATTTATTTCGTATCAAGCAAAAGTTAACCTTATTGCCTAGAAGACTTTAACTTAGAAAAAATCTTGGACTTAGAATAATTGTTATGTGTGTTTGTTAGACTTAGTTAGATTTAAGCCAAATTGTGTTCAGACGGGGAACCTATGCCCGATTTTTAGTAGATTCTCTAAGTTTCAAACACTTAGAAAATTTTGGATATTTAAATGGACTTATAAAATTTCAAACACATATAGAAACTATTTGCTGTTTATAATAGACTTGTACTTTATTTTTGGAATCTGTTTGTTTTTTCTGTGAATTTGTGCTTCAAAATGTCTTTGCAATCACATGTTAGGGTGCAAGATGACATTTACGTCCGATTGTCAAGGGCTAAAAGTAATTTTAAAAAGTCTCCCAAAGATAGGATTACTGTACAATATTTACAAACTAGATTAGAAAGTATTGAAGAATTATGGGCAGAATTTACTTTAACACATACACAGATGGTTAAAGATTTTGATCATAAGGAGTTAACATCTTCGCCTTATACTGTAAACGAGGTCTATTTTAACACTGAAGAATTGTATTTAGATTTAAGATGCGAATTAAAAACTGCATTAAGTAAATTTAAGAATAGTGACGTTCCTTCAGCTATGTCGTCAAATAATGATTCACCTGGTAAAGGCATAACTATTAAGTTACCGAGAATAACGATTCCCACTTTTTCCGGGAAATATACCGAATGGCCCACCTTTCGTGATTTATTTGTGTCAGCAATTCACAAGAATAGCACTATTGACAATGTCCAAAAATTGCATTATTTAAAAGGTTATTTGACTGGGGAAGCCGAACAGCTCCTCCGTCATATACCAATTTCAGAATCTAATTATGAAAGATGCTGGACTCAGTTAGAGACCAGATATAATAACAGGAAATATTTATCTAATTGTATTTTGGGAAGGTTACTTAGTCAGAAAAATATTATGCAAGAGTCAGCTAATGCTTTAAAAGAATTAATGGACACAACATCAGATTGCTTAAATGCGTTAATGAATTTGGATATTGATGTAACTTCCTGGGACATTATAATAATTCACATTGTAGCATTAAAACTAGATCCTAACAGCAGAAAGGATTGGGAATTAAAGGTAACTAGCAATATAGATTCGGATGAGTTGCCTACATTCGGACAGCTCAAAGAATTCTTAACAAGCCGCTATAGGGCGCTTGAATTTTTAGGTACTAAGTCAAGTAACAACAGTGTTGCTAAGGAAAGGGTATTTCACACGGCGGCCAATACAGCCAAGGTATGTCCAGTGTGTAATAGTAACGAGCACAAAATAAGAAATTGTAAACAATTTGTTAATAAGGATGTGGATATTCGGCGTAAGTTTGTCCAGGATCATAATTTATGTTTTAATTGTTTGGGGTACAACCACTCTGCTAGATTGTGTAAATGTACAGCTTCGTGTCAAATCTGTAAGCGAAGACATCACTCCTTACTGCACCCTAAAAATGAGCAGGAATCTGCTGGTGATAAGGGAGATCCATCAACGCAAGCACATTCAACCACTGTCGGAGTGGAATCTCAAAACAAGGTAGTAGCTTGTTTCTCAAAAAGTGGAGTGAGTAGTCAGGTCTTGCTGGCCACAGCGCTGGTGAGGGCTGTATCCAAAAACGGTTTGTTTACGATCAGAGCCCTGTTAGATCAAGGCTCACAAGCGTCTTTTGTTACAGAGCGTACTGTGCAGAGTTTAGGGTTGCGTAAAAAAGCGGTTAAGGGTTCAATTACTGGCATAGATGTTAATAACAAATTAGTATTAAATTCGGTTGTTGAGGTCAAAATTCAATCTAGGATTGATCCGTCATATGAACTTGTAGTCAAAGCATACGTTCTCAAATCTTTAACGTCTTTATTACCGGGTAGAGAAACGTCATATTTAGATTGGGCTCAAGTTAGTGACATTGAACTAGCGGATCCTAGGTATCACAAACCGGATAAAGTTGATATGTTGTTAGGGGCAGAAATCTATAGTCAGATTTTGCAGAACGGGTTCAAAAAGGCTCCTGATGGCAGCACAGTAGCTCAGGCTACCTCATTGGGATGGATTTTATCGGGTACAGTTACTTCTGCTTCTCAGAATACATCCAATATTACCGTGATGCATACCCAACTCGGTGATGATGAAATCCTGAAAAGATTCTGGGAATTAGAAAGAGAACCAAATCACATCAAGAAACATTTACTCACCGAAGAGGAATCCAGGTGTGAGGAAATATTTAAGGCTACAACTACTAGAGAAAAGGACGGTCGCTACGTTGTTAACTTACCATTTAAAAGCGAAGATCCAAGCTGTCAATATGGTGATACAAGAAAGGCTGCAATTAGGAGGTTTTATACATTAGAAACTAAATTCACCAAAGATACACAGTTAAAGGAAAAATACGCAGATGTTATGAAGGAGTATTTACAATTGGGACATATGAGGGAACTAACTAAATCAGAGGAACAAAATGAGCATGCAGTGTACTTACCTCATCATGCGGTTGTACGTAATGACAAGGACACCACCAAGGTTCGAGTTGTTTTTGATGCTTTCTGCAAGGGAAATAATGGGTTATCTCTCAACGACGACTTAATGATAGGTCCTAGACTGCAACCAGATTTGCGACATTTGTTGATTGGTTGGAGAACTCACCGCATTTGCCTGGTCTCGGACATCGTAAAAATGTACCGAATGGTACGCGTTGCTGACCATCACACTGATTTTCAGCGTATCGTGTGGAGAGATAACAAGCATTCTACACTAAAACATTACAAGTTACTTACTGTTACCTTTGGTACCTCTTCAGCACCTTTTTTGGCAGTGCGATCGATGCAGCAAGTGGCGTACGATGAGGGAATTAAATATCCATTCGCAGCTGAAAGGGTACTTAAAGATTATTACATGGATGATTTGATGACTGGTTGTGACACGATAGAAGAAGGCATGCAAATCTATAATCAAATGAACGAGTTACTTGCAAAGGCGGGATTCACTTTACAAAAGTGGTCAAGCAACAACAGTGAATTACTGGAAAAAATGATCGGGAAAAGATACTCTTTCAAGGGACAGCAAAATCTGAAAAAAGAGAAGCCTAAAAGAAAGAAGTTTAAATCATTAAATCTTTACCTTGATTCCGTTAATATCTTGAGGGTGGGCGGTAGACTGGAGCGTTCTGACCTTGCCAGAGATCGTAAAAACCCAATTTTAATTCCTAGCAATTCTCATTTTACTAATCTTCTAATTGCTGATGCACATGATAGGAATCTACATGGCGGACCTCAACTTATGCTTAACTATTTAAGCACAAAATATTATATTCAGGGAGCCAAACGGTTGGTTACTGCGTACGTAAAATGTGTAACTTGCTTGCGTTATACAGCTTCTACGAAACCTCAGTTAATGGGTCAATTACCACCTGCACGGGTTACACCAAATAGACCATTCAAGAGTAGCGGGGTAGATTTTGCTGGACCTATCAATTTGAGAACATCCAAGGGTAGAGGTCATCACGCATACAAGGGGTATATTTGTTTATTCGTCTGTATGACAACTAAGGCTGTCCATATCGAAGCTGTTAGTGACCTGACAACAAATTGGTTTCTTGCCGCGTTTAGGAGGTTTGTAGCAAGACGTGGTCATTGCACAGATATGTGGAGTGATAACGGTACAAATTTTCACGGTGCTTGTAGGGAGTTGGATACACTTCTTCGCTCTGAGAATTCAAAATTGGCTAAGGATATTGCTGCATCATTGGCTGGTGAGGGTACTACATGGCACTTTATCCCACCTCATGCACCGAATTTTGGCGGATTATGGGAGAGTGGAATAAAGTCGTGTAAAAAGCATTTAAATAGAGTAATAGGAAGCTCTACTTTAACTTTTGAAGAGATGGCTACATTATTAAGTCAAGTAGAAGCATGCTTAAACTCGCATCCGTTGTATCGGTTAACAGATTCGAACAAGTTTGATGCCTTAACACCTGGGCATTTTCTTGTGGGGGAACCAATCATAAGCGCACCAGATCGTAACTATGAAGATGCAAATATTTCTAGCTTAAAGAGGTGGCATTTAGTACAACAGATGACGCAACATTTTTGGCGTCGCTGGTCCAGCGAATATCTGACTATACTTTTCCATCGTTATAAATGGTCAACTCAAAATCCAGAACCCAACATAGGAGATGTTGTGTTAATTAAAGAGGATAATTTACCTCCCTGTCGGTGGCTGCTTGGCAGAGTGGTAGAAAAGCATCCGGGGTTGGACAATCTTACACGAGTAGTCACAATTCGCAGTAATGGTTCTATGCTCAAAAGGCCCACATCTAAACTGTGTGTCTTGCCTGTTGCCTAATTATATTAGTTTAGGATAACTTTAAGCCATATTGTTAATCTTATTTCTGTATTCGTTGTAACTTTTGTAACTTTAAAAGGACATAATGGTATAATGTCCTTGGTGGGCGGAATGTCTAACCGTCAAGCAAATGACATGTAAGAAACCCGCGGTTCAGAAAACAAGTCTTCCAACATTCGTCCATAGATGGCGCTTTTTATTTGAGATCGTTTTCTGAATCGCGGTGTTAAGATTCTCCGGCAATACTATAAGGGTCCAACGAATTTATTTGAATGTTAGTATCAATTTGTCACGTGCTATTGTATCGTAATTTTTATTGTACAATAATTTGGAATACAAGTGTTCGGTAACCACGACCAAGTACTTTTATTCAATTCAACCCCCAGCTTAACCCTCACGATACCCAGGGTTATCCAAATATAGAGGTACATTTTTAAATATTCATCTGGTTTTTACATTGCTTAATTTTTTTTAGGGCATAAGCCGGTAAACTATCAGACGGATCACCTGATGGTAAGTCAATCGGCGTCACCCATGGATACCCGGTGTTACAAGAGCGTTACCGGCCTTTTGGGAATCCGGCCATACCTAATTTATGAGCGACTTAATTAACCCTTTGAGTACCGTCATTAGAGATACAATTAAAGAACAATAAGTTGCGGTCACAGGTGTCCTCGCGGTGTTTGACAGTTTAAGTCACTAAAAAAAGAAAAATTCTACACTTCGACACAACTATTACCCATTTCCAAATCTTTAAACTACCACAGATTACATAATAACAAGACACCATACAAAAACGGCTAAGATCCCTCTAATACAATGAAAACTACAGAAACATAATGTTAAGTCCACTACTACCAGCTTCCACAGAGATAATATAAAATCAAAGGGATAGCACTTCCCAGAGATTGTTACTGGAGATAATTGGACAAGCCACCCTTAGGCCCTTGGGGAGGCGGGTAAAGGCTTTTCATAAATTGTATCTAGACGTATCTATGTACCTATATACAAATATTGATAAAATTAGGTGATATTATTCGATTAATGAAAGGTATATAATTATATCACGTTTGTTTATCCACAAAAAATGTTTTTTTATGGCATAAGCCGGTAAACGAGCAGCAGATCTCCGGCTGGTAAGCAATCGGCGTCGCCCATGGGCACCTGGAACACCAGAGACGTTGCAAGTGCCTTATTGGCCTTTTGAGGATTGTTGGGATCAGGTATTGGGGAGATTGGGGAAGGGGAGGGGTGTAATAGGGCTCCGGAAACCTCACTCACACGACGAAACACAACGCAAGCGTTGTTTCACGTCAGTTTCTGTGAGGTCGTGGTATCACTCCGGTGGAGCCGGCCCATTCGTACCGAAGCATGGCTCTCCCACAATTGATTGAATTCACATAATTATACACCTCAGATCAAAAACCTATAAGTGCCCACTGCTAAGCAAAGGCATCTTCTCACATGGAATAAGTTACATACATCAATACATAGTATAAAACAAAGTCGCTTTCGCTGTATGTCCGTATGTATGCTTAGATCTTTAAAACTACGCAACGGATTTTGATGCGGTTTTTTTTAATAGATAGAGTGATTCTTAAGGAAGGTATGTATAATACATGCATATTGCACCCATGCGAAGCCGGGGCGGGTCGCTAGTATATTAATAAGATAGAAACATCTGATACAATTTACAGTGCAGTCAAATTAAGGTAGTATTTATTCTTTGATTAGATACCTAACTATTATTTTAATTAGTAACATAACATAACATCACGCCTTTTATCTTCGAAGGGGTAGGCAGAGGTGTACATTATGCCACTACAATGTAACACCCACTATTATGTTTATGAGTCCCATGTAATAGGGGGTGAGCCTATTGCCATATACTGGGCACTGAGAATTTTTTAAAAAACCCAGTAATACTTTGCCCTACCCGGGAATCGAACCCGAGACCCCTTACCCGGCAGTCGCACTTGCGACCACTCGGCCAACGAGGCAGTTAATATAATACTTGTTTAATTAGTAATCAATATAAAACTTGTATTACCTACTAATTACGCTCTAGACAGGTGGACCACATTTCAATTGCAATCCAATTGCAAAATTGTAGTTCGCATGCAGCTTAAATGCAGTCGTGTCACGATTGCAATTGACCTGGACACCAAACGAGCAGTCCGATTGCAGTCCTATTGCACTCGTGTCATGCAATCCGTCTGTCTAGAGACTTGCAGATACCATGCTCTTACTGAGACATTATAATCATTAATCTGAATAATATACCGTTCCAACACGTGGATTTTTATCCTGGTAGTTAGACCTGGTTGCTGGGAAGTTATTCTTTCGCCCTTTGTAGGAAGTCGGTACCATGGCCACTTTTTATCTTCTTATATATATGTCGGAGAAAATACACTAATTGGGGGTACTTCGTCATCGGATTCGTCGTAAACGCGGTAAGTTCGGTATGGGCTGGCAGAACAACCGCTCACCCTCGTGTCCAACTCAAAAGTGACGCCTGTCAAATGTCAACATGCCACGCCCCGTACCGACCATCACCCAAGCACACTGCTTGACGTTTCCGACAAATGATAACAGATGGCGTTGTTCTAAAATAACGATACTCGATAGTTGTGCATCTTTGTTGATTCTGCGACATATATATAT